GAATTAACCGGGTTTTACCTGACAAAAGTATCTGATTTTACCGAAAACGGAATAGAGGCACTTTTTTACTACATATGGATCCATTTTTAGTCAAAAAAGAGAGTGGGCCGATTCATAACCTTATACGCCCCTCTCCTTTATTCCTCCAGCATTTATTTCATTCGACTTATTTACAATAAAACAGGTGAGACATAAAGTAAACTGAAAAAAGAAGTAAAATCCATAGGAAATGAATCATCTTTATTACTATAACCACGACCAACTTATACTAACACGTCCTTGGCTAAGGTCGGCTATAGCTTGAAAAGCAGCTGGTGTTAAATCTAAATCACCATACTGACAACTGGGACATCTATCAATAACCACTGCGGTAACTGATCCCTTTGGTCCATTTATTCTTACTGTTTTACCACACAATGAATTTCTATTTGGATTGCCATTAGATGTATAGGGATCAAACTGAGGAGCATTCATAGCAACAAGGAACTGATTGTCATTTTGCAATGTGACACAGGCTGTGTAACCACCTTCAATATTATAATAGGTAGCTTGTCCTGTGTAAAGAATCATGTTATAAATACAACCAGGTAAAGAGGATAGAGAGAGGTAGATGGTCAGTAACCCGAAATTGACTATTCACAATAGAGTAAGCGTAGAAACGAAAAACTGTACCGAATTAAACAGTGAATGAAATGATGATAAAGAACGTCAGATGTTTCTAGACGTCGTTGTTGTAGCAGCCGTATTGACCACTTGGACTACCTCCACTAGAGTCTGTACTTTAAGTACCTTCGTGAATAAAAGTACTTGTTTTTGAGCTCCATTATAGAAAGTAGTTTGGGATTGTCCTAAACATCAACTTCTATGATTAATCTGACTATGAAATGTTCAAAATATTATTTAACTAAAATTAACGCTGTACCAGAGCTATTTTCAGTTCTCATTTTTTGAGTGATGATGTTGATCGGCGTGGTCCATAAGTCAGCCCTGATGGCGGTATGGTTCCTTGTGAGAAGAAAATTTATAAAGTTTTCTAAATACTGTTGTTCCGTAAGCGCAAAACATACAGGTGAACTCTCAGTGCTTGTTCCACAGTTTAACGAAGGACTCAGATCTGAGTCGTTTTCTTCAGTTCAAAGGTGTTCAAACAAAGAAAATTTAATTGTTTCTGAGAATGTGAAACAGACTTGATCTTCCTTTAATGGTAATTTCGGATCTATCCGTTCAAAATACAGGGTTTATTGAAATTTAACTAAGACCAGTGTCAAGAAGCTGCATTCAAAGTCCTGCCTTAACTCGTTGAGGTCTCACACAATTCTGTAGATGACGATTGTATTTTCTGTATTTACCACTTTATAGATGGCTGATCGCAGATATATGACCTTATTGCGGAGTTCGTTTTTTCTAAGCGTATTTTTGGTATTTAATGTGTAGTTCGACATAAATAGCAATTTTCCCTTACTAAAATATCTTCCAGGAAGCTGTAAAGGTAAAAGGAGGGTTTTTCAAAAATGATTGCTTAATATTTAGTTTTTTAGTACTGTCTAGGTTTATAGACTTTAAAGTGACTTTTGAGAGAACGCTTCCAAGTGATCAATCGAAAACTATTGAAGTAAATGTTTCCGGTGGCGCTGATTCCGAGTATGACCGCTAGACCTCTGGTAATCGGTCATTAGGTCTCCAAATGGGAAACATTTTCAAACAATATCAGGTTTTGACACCGTCAGTTTATAGAGCACGTCAAGGTGTCTCTCAGTTTTTTCGACCACCAGTTGCGTTTTGATAAAGCTATAAGTGGTTTAACTCAAGTTTCTGTTGAACTATTTCAGTCGGGAAAATCTATGAATTTGGGAGAAAATCAAGGTAAATAAGAGAAATATACGTAAATAGAAATCTGGCAGTAGAAGTTGAATATTTAGAGTCTTTCTTACTTTATCCGAATCCATATCTACACTTAAATTAAAGTTTTCTGTAGTTTTCTGTGTTATTAAGATCTGTTTCTATGAGATGATTCATCATAAGCTCAAATTAAATAATTTATAGCTTTATCAAAACGCAACTGGTGGTCGAAAAAATTTCAGGACAAAGACAACTTGACGTGCTCTATAAACTGATGGTGTCAAAATCTGATATTGTTTGAAAATGTTTCCCATTTGGAGACCTAATGACTGATCTCCAGAGGTCTAGCGGTCACACTTGGAATCAGCGCCACCGAAAACATATACTTCAATGGTTTTCAAAGAAAACACGATACATCACATGAAAATGTTTCCCCATTAGTTCCCTAATGTGAGCGTCCCTAGCGTACAGTTCTTTTGAGCCGCCACCGCTTTAGTATCATCCATCTAAGACGTAAGGAGTCATCCATTAACGGCTTAAATTGTCAGAGGTGAAAGATGATGAATGATAGTTTTTATAACTCCGTAAGTGGCTGGTAGAGTAAAAACATGCTTTTTTGAATGGCCCTTGATCCTCCACCTCCTTTACAGTTCTGCTGGCATCCTACACCACAGTAATCAGAACCAGTTCCGCAATAATCCCATTTTGAGCAACAATTACTACCCGTGCAACCACAACTTTGTCGGTCTTCTCGTTCTAACAGCCATCGTCTAACGAATTGTTCAAGTATATCACCATTTACATTAGTAGTGAATAATACAAACAGAAGTATTATACTTGGAGAACGTTGCATGTGTATTTGACAATACTGGTTAAAGTAAAATGTGTAATAATGTTTTATAGAGTCTGAAGCACCCAATATATAGTTTATTACCCATGTGTGACAAATAGAATAATTTACTCGAAAAAAGATGGCTTCGTTAAACAACACGCCTAGTTTACATGATACAGAATTTCTCATTTAATGAATGCTTTTTGTACCTAGGAGATCGAGTATGCAAATAGGCATATATTTTATTGTGATTAATGGGCAATAATTTTACAACGCTGCTGTTATCTCGTTTTTTATTTGAAATGGGTACATAACATAAACGTGAGAAAAATGTGCACTTAATAGATAATTAACCTTGATTCTTGTCAGGCCGTTCTATACAAAATAATTAACAAGTTGGAGAAGTTGTATCAGGCTATTGCGGAAGCCGAAATGCGTAGGTCAGGCTAATATGAGGAAATTAACTTCTTCAAAGAACAACAGTTTGTTCTTTTTTCTATGAAAATACTTCAGTTTTGGATTTCGTTTTCATGTTTCTGAATTAACTACTCATCGTGTATTTGATGGTTGGTTAATGTACACTTTTACAAAATTTGATCAGTATTGTATGTATCCTTCTGATCCTAATTATGTTTCTAAATTTATTATTAGTTTCTGTTTTTTCAATTTATTTTGTAACGTTTCGATTTCGAAGAACGAGATTTTCGTGAAACAAGGCCGTCGTGACGTCATATTATGATACAAGTTAGAAAACACAAAGAAAAGATTTTGTTTAGATGATTTCCAAAATGTTATCCATCAAATGTTTTCTTTTTTCTCTGTGTATTACATTTACATAGTATATACATATTCACCTGTATACAGGTAAAATTCATCTTACAAGATCTGTCGTTTTCTTATGAAACCTTGTAATACGATCTTACTGTATAATCTTACAAGATCTTGTCTTAAGATGTTGTAAGATCCTGCGGAATCTTGTATATTCTACTCATAAGATCTTACATGATCAGTCCATAAGACGTGACAAGATCTTACAAGATCTTGTAACACGAAAACGTATGATCTTACAAGATCTTGCCATTGAGAGACGTGAATTGTATTTATTTCTTATCGCAAGATCATACGGTTTCTTGTTATAAGGTCTTATATGATTTTGCAAGAATCGATGACTCATTCTTACCACATAAATTTTTCTATTGATATTGCGTATATATATAACATAAACCCCCCCCCAGAATAGACGGGCAGGGCTTTCGCTTGTGTCCCGTCGGATCAAACTTTTTAGGGTGGCCTTCTATTAAGAGTGGCCTTCT